GGGGGGTGGGGGGGGGCTTCAATGTGACACTTGGAAGGAAAAAAAATCATTTATTTCGAAATCCCCTACATCCCTTTTTTCTCTGTGATTTTTTTTTATTTGGTCAAGAGAGGCTTTCGTTATGATTCTTTTGATTGAAACTTGAAAGGCTTTATTTCGGGATTCCATATATACACGTCTTCTACATGATATCAGGGCTTTTACTTTTTGCCATTAATGTTCATTTTCATTTTTTATACTGATTGCAAAATTTAATTTCCAAACTGCAACCATTTTAGGAGGTGTAGTAGTACAAGAAATTTTGATAATTTTAGTTCGATTATCAGGGGATAAGAAATTTCTGAATTCTGAACTTTGGCATGCCTGTGCTGCTCCTCTTGTTTCTTTACCTGCTGATGGGAGCCATGTGGTGTATTTTCTTCAGGGTCACAGCGAATAGGTTTGTTTATTGACTTTTTATGATGATAAATTACAGTTTTCTCAAGGTTGAGTCTTGTTACCCTGTACATTTGTTATTAATTTGTTTTTAGTTCTGGTCTTTGGCTGGTGCCATTGATGGCAAATGTGTCTTGAAAATAAGATCACGTTGAGCTCATTATTTTTTCAATGTTTTCTCAACAAATTGCCGTATCAACCAATAAGGAAGTTGATGCACACACACCAAACTACCCGAGCTTGCCTCCACAACTAATTTGTCAGCTTCATAATGTGACAATGCATGTAACTGATGTAAGAGATCTTCAACTTTGGTTGTGGTCCAATTATGCTTAACAGGCTTGTTCTAGAAGCTTATTATTTGTTATCCAGGCCGATATCGAGACAGATGACGTTTATGCTCAAATGACCTTGCAACAGCTGAGCCCAGTACGTCAACTTTATATTAAGATTGGGTTTTCAATTATTTCATGTTTTGTTTCAGTTTAGTTAAATCCTAATGTGCCTTTAATGCAGCAAGAGCAAATGTATGTTAATTTCCTTCTTGTAGATCTGGGCGCTCCCAGCAAACAGCCGATGAATTACTTTTGCAAAACATTAACGGCGAGTATTACAAGTACTCATGGTGGATTTTCGCAATTCTTGGAATGTTGTATATTAGGTATGCCAAGTACAACTTAATTTTAATTTACTTGTCCACTATAAAATAAAAGAGTGAGTTTCCACTATACTGTTCACAAGCCGAATGACGATCTAAGCCGAGACTTGTTGGAGTGAGCCGTGGTAGCCGACCCTCCAATAATTGGTCCTTTTTTTTCCTTTTCCCTTGGTTACCATCTGTTGCTCTCGCTCTCACTCTCACCCTCTCTCTGGTCATTCCAAAACTTTCCCTTAACTCGGTTTCTCACTTTGTCCATATACTTCTCTCTCTTTCTACGTCCTTTCTCGCGATTTCGTCTCTCCTTTTGAAACCCTAACCAATTTCAAAGATTTCCTCCATTTCAAGTGCTATGCTACGTTGTAAAATCAACAAAATCTCACATAAATTCCCTCGGTTCTTCTCCCACACCATCGGTTTGTTGTACTTCATCGTTTCTCATTTTCACCCTTTCAGATCCCCTTTTTGACATTAGAAACCCTAACGAAATCTCACAAAATTGCTTCGATTATACTCCTCTACAAGAGAGAGAGAGAGAGAGAGAGAGAGAGAGAGAGAGAGAGAGAGAGAGAGAGAGAGAGTTTTGAAAGCAGAGGGTGTGGTCTCGAAATCTAATTGATGAGTTGATTGTTTTATTTTGCAAGTGAAAAGGAAAATACCAGGAACTAAGAATTTAAGGTATGATTTGTTTAGTGTTTCTTTTTTATTTTCTGGTAAAGGGTTGATAGTTTTAATACGAGAAGATTAGAAACCAAATCTGGGTATTGTTCATTTCACCTTTATTGTACACTCCATATTTTTAATTATCATTCATATATTTGTATGTTAATCATCATTTTTGGTGCATGTTTATGCTAAATTCCCACTCGCAAGTGTGAAGAAAGAGATTATAAAGCAATTATGTTATATATTGGAAGAATCCCACATGGATTTTATGATAATGGAATGGAAGGTTTGGCATATTTTTTCGAATTTAAAATTTACGTGTGCATTGTGTGCACATATGACGGTAAAAACATTCGTTTTTGCAGATTTCTTTAACCAATTTGGTACAATCAAGAGACTCCAAATAGCAAGGAATAGGATATGAAGGTTTTTCTTTGAACTCCAGTCGTTATGTAAGCATTCTTCTATTAGTTTCACTCTAGGATGATAGATGTTAACATAAAGCAAGGATTTTGAATGGCTAGGTTCCCTTTTTTGTTTAACCAATAAAATACCTTGAATATCTCAATTGCACCTAAGAACAGATGGCTTAATTTCAAATTTGTGATATTATAAAATATAATGTTTGATTTATTTATGGAATACGCAATTCCTCTAATTGTATGTTAATTCACTATTAACATACATCACTTATGGTCACTCACAACATACTCAGCAATTGTCAATCTCTGATTGAATTGAAAGCTGCTCCATTTTCAATTGAATACCCAATTTCAATTCCATAACAGACAACCGTGAATCTCTACTGCACACAGCATGCAACAATACCTAAAATGTAGTATTAAAAAGAACAAAAACGTCTCAACTGAACTGAACATAGAGCTGAGAATTAGGACCACGTGCAATTTTATCAAATACCATCCATATTTGACTTTTTTTCCAATCTGACTTTCTTCATTGTGGGGCTACGTATGGTACGCTGTTGGTAATTCTCAGACAAATACCATCCATATTTGACTTTTGAAAATTTTTGGCATGTACCTAATTCTAATTTTCCAGTTTGTCATCCAAATAGATGGTGGGAGGTTTTTTAAAATCGAAGGATGCTATGGATATTTTTGAAAATGTGTCAAGAAATAAGGATATTTTTGACCTTTTAAATTGCACTTCACTTTACTGTTTAGAAATGAGAAATATCGGAAACAGTTGGAATAATGGATACACTACCCTTTCTTCTTCTATATTTTCTCACGCTATCAACCATACCTCTTTTCTTCTCCACCATTTTCTCACTTCTCTGTTGTTCTCTTTTTCCTGTTTTCTTCTTCCCACGATTCATTTCTTTTGGTTTATACTTTCTTGGAACTTTTGTTTTTTGTTCTACCTCCTATTTAGTTGTTTCTCTCATGGATGCTTGCGAGGGTAGTGCTGATCGTTTGTTAGGAAAAAGGCGGCGTAGAGAAATTAATGTTACTAAATCTAAGGAATCTCAAAATTCACGGCGCCGGGAATCGTATGTTGAAGCACGAAAATTGCGAGATGCGCTTATTAAAGAATTACATCTTCAAACAAAAAATCTCGATCCAAGCATTCTCAGCATTACAGGGAGACCAGTACTTGAGGGTATTTGTACACAACTCACTCATAATAGTACTTTAGATAAATTTGTTGATTCGTTAGAAATAGAGTATGCTTTTTCTTCATATTTTTGTGTTGTTAGTTGTAGTATGACTCTTGATTTTTATTCTATTCACATGAAATGGTGGAACCTGATTTAATGTAAATCTCTTAATTTCTTCTGCTAGGTTTTCTTTTCAATCCTTAGTATTACACAGCAGCAACAAATGGGTTTATCAGCAAAAGGTGAAATCTAAAGTACATGTTTCATTTATCTTTTTTAAGAAATAATTTCATTTTTCCTAGTATTTTCTTGTGAATGTTTAGGTTGTTGTAGAGAGGATGTTCTGTATACAGAGTTTTAGAAGGCTTGCTCTGCGCCATTGTTGGATTTTCCATGAATTAAAGAGAGTTTACTATTTTTCACAGGGACACATGTAACAAGTAATTTTCTTCAAGTGTTATGAAAATTATTATGGTTGCTTAAAGTTCAGATTTCTGTTTGCAAATTTAAGCTTGAATTCAGGTTATTTGTAGGATTTGCTCAATAATGTCTTTTCCTCCTCCTCCTTTTTTTTAATGTTTTGGGATTGGTTAGTTGGAGGCATCAACAGATGATGAATTGAATCAGAGGATAACAACATTTAGGCTGCCCTCAAAGATCATTTGTAGCCTTTTTAACATTCTGGTATGGTCTTTCTTTTCCATTTTCATTGTTTTTTTTGCTTTGTGAAATATGTTAGTGTTTGCTTGTTAAACTGTGTGGAGTTTAATCATGCTATATATTGGGTAGTGCATACATACTATATATTGGGTAGTGCATACGTATATGAGATTAAGATTAAATTATAACATTGTTATGATAAGGTGCTAGGAATTTGGGGACTATGGCTTTTATATTTGTTTATTAGAGCTGATTGTTAAGCCATTCAATGATATGTAACGAGTATAAATCAATTATCCATAATACATTAACATGTAAATCAACGAACATTAAACTAAGTTATAAACACAACCCTAGCCCTTTTTTGCAAGATATGTTCGAAGAAGCTAAGACTCAAATCGTCTGGTGGTGGGCTCTCTATATACTTGTCGTCTCTTCTTGACACGTGAGCTCCTCTATTTTTCTCATTTTAAATACATTGTCGGTGGTGCTGGTGCACGATTCTTGTTGTCTTTTAGGGTGTGATAATGGGTGGGTTATAAAAATAGTACAACTGCAGTGCCAATAGATCAGAATTTGACACAGTTTATCTTCAGTTTTGTTAATTTCATTAAACTACAGTTTGTTTTCATTAGTTGTTTTTATTAACTAATCTATGTGAGTGATGAAAAATTGTTTGATTTGTCAATTTATGTGGTGTTGTTTATCTCTGAATTTGTTATGATTTATGATTGGTGCAATTGACCTATAATTAGGCTTCTACTAATAGTAAGTTTAAACATTGTAATCATTTTTTCGGTCAATGTATTATCAGTTCGTCACTTCGTCTTACAAGAATGAAAATGCACATTGCAAGTTTTCTCTTCTGGAATGGTTCTTAGTCTTTTGCTTGTTACCGTTTCATTATTTTGAAAGGTAGAAATCTGCCGCCGTCTTCTTCGTTGTGGAAAAGATTGAGAATTTGCGTCCAAATAGGAGACCAGCGAACTGAGGTATGTCAATTCCACGTTCCATTATCTCAAGAACCCATCAGAAATTGATCAGATATTATGGTTATTTTTGTATTTTCAGTATTCATGTTGATAAATTATGAGTTCTTATTAGCCCTTTCGTGTTTATGCTTTGGAGTTCCTGTGTTTTCTGTTGAAATTGTATTGTGGTTTATTTCTTCATTTTTGGATTTTGTAGTGCCATGAGATTAGATGAAGTGACATATAATTGCAAACCCTTAAATATTATTTAGCTCAAAAATTTTTAACAAGAAAAGCATACACCTTACTATCATCGTTGGTAAAACATTGTAAGCATCGCTGAACAACGTAATTACCATTTAGGTCTTTGACGAGGGCAAGAAAGCCTGGCTCAAGGGCTGAAATAACTAGCGAAATTTGTTGCCTTGTTTTGAGTGTCTCAATCAACTTTTGGACCCATCGAGTGCTGATAAAAAAAGAATAAAATGGCTAATCAACATGAAGAATGATGACGACAAAGCAAAACGTGAGTAACTTACCCATGTCTATTTAGAGAGATCCTAACGAGATCTCCTGGCACCTAGTCACCCTAAGTAGAATTTGAGTACTCTGTTCTTCATTGCACACATCCAACAATTTTTGCATAATTTTGGAAAAAAAAAGTAGCAGAAACGCATCCAAGTAGTTGTGTAAATCGATTCACACAAGTCTTCAGCATGCACTCTTGAACCATTTGTTCACCTACAAATGTAATGTTCACCAACAAATGTAATAATACAACAAGTCAATTAAACAGGTGGAAAAATTAAAAAAAAAAAATTGTAATTGGTCTTCTTTTTTCCTAATTTAGGTTGCTTTGTAATGGATCAAATCTGTATATTGTTTAATGTTTTGATTGCATATAAAATGCTCGTCCTTCAAACATTTTCTTAGTTCCCCATCCATTATCTTTAAGTCTTGTAATGTCTAAAAATGACACAGTACGTTTCAAAGTAAAATCCACTTAATTATGCAGTGATAGCATTCCAAAACCAACATCTAAGGAACAGAAATTTTTATGATACTTAACCCTACAAGGGCCATAAGTTCTTTCCAGTATCTTATTAGAATCCTATTAAAACTTACAATTGTTCATTATCTACAGCAGTTTGCAGCAGTAGTTTTTTTTTTTTTGCCAGCGACCTAGTTTAAAATTTTAGAAAGGCAATGAATTTGGGGTTCCTGTCTTTTTCCTGACATCCCGTTTGTTCAATTTCTTTTATTCAGCCATACTATTACAGTATTACGTTGTGAAATTACATTCTCAAATGTTTGGAAAGAGTTTTCCCATTTTTTACTTTGATGTGAGTTTTGTACATTGTTTCGAATTATCATATAACAACTTGCACTGATTTTTTTGTCTTTAGGTTCTAGCTGAAGTTCTTTGTTTATCGATTTGTACTTATTTTCAATTTTTTTCCCAATATTTGGCTGGTCAGATTGCTCGTGCTGCTACCATTTTTTGAATTGATGAGGTTCCTTTTTCTATGATTACTTCATTTAATTACCCACCCCTCCTATCAACCCTAAATCACACATCTCTCATTCCCGATCCCCCACCTCCATGCTGTGCTAGCGACTTCTCTCCACGCTGCTGCTGCCGGCGACGCCTTTTCCTTCCCCTCCCTCCCCTTCTCCTCCCCATCACACATCGCTCTCCTTCTTTCTCTCTCCCTCAATCTCTATTCTTCTCTTCCTCTCCCCAGTTCCGAAACCACCTTCATCGACTGCGCAGTGGAGCAGCGTTCCTCGCTGCAGGGAGCTAATCGCGAGCGATGCTTCTTTCTATGCCGACTGCGAAAAAGGCGGTCAACTCGTAAAAGAATTGTTGGGGTTTTGATGAAGGGTTTGTCGATGAATGCGGTGGCCATGGCTGGGATTTTAATTAGGGCTTTTTATATGGATTCTCAGGATATTGAATTTGGTAATCCATGGTGGTTGTTTATGTCGGAATTTCGTGTTTCCTTTTATAGGTCTCAGGATATTGAATTTGGTAATCCATGGTGGTGTTGTATGTGAGAGTGGGTGTTGTGTTGTTATTGTTGGTTGCAGAGGCAGCGGCCACGGGATGGGATGAAGAGTGCTTGTGAACATGGATCATCACTGTTATCTCATCTAACATTGTTGTCTTGT